CACTACCTCATTACATCAAAAATGCTAATAGAGATACCAAGAGTTGCACAAGCATTGCTCTCTGAGCTCTTTAATGCCATTCTAAAACTAAATTACCTTCCAAACGCGTGGAAAAAGTCGCAGATATTAATGATAGCCAAACCAGGTAAAGACCACACACAGGCGGCTTTTTACAAACCAATAAGCCCAGTCTTTCCAAGTTATTTGAAAAAATTCTGCTATCAAAAATATCTCCTTTTCCCCACCGTAACAATGTGATACCAGATCACCGATTTGGCTTTCGTGAAAAGCATGGTACTATTGAACAAATAATCGATGAAATCAGAAAGGCATTCTAGCTCAAGGAGTACTGTTGTGCAATCTTTCTTAACGAAACACAAGCGTTCTTCAAAGTCTGGCAAAAAGGTTTACTCTACTAAATATATAAAGCTCTTCCTGTTCAGTTTTATACGATACTTTAGTCGTATCTGACTAACAGACAATTTACGATTTAATAATCTGAATTGATCAGTGAGGAGAATCCGGCAAAAGCTGGTGTTCCGTAGGGCAGCGTCCTCGGGCCTATTTTATATATCATATACACTGCAGACATCTCATTAAACCAAAAAAAGCAGACACTTTCTTTTGCGAATAACACAGCTATTTTATGACGGGATAAATGCCCTAAAAGAGCTGCAAAAACGATTAGTGGTTCTACTCCCCATCAAAAAATGGCTAGAAAACTGGAGAATTAAAGTTAATGAATAAAAGTGTAAATACGTTTCATTTACTTCAAGACCGCAATCATGTCCTGCAATTCGCTTAAATACTACACATGAAAATAAAAGCAGCTAGTTTAAACTGGCCTTTAAATAAAAACTCCGGTCAAAAACTAGACTTCAAAGTCCTTATTTACAACGCAGTATTAAAACCAATTTGGATGTATGGTATTCAACTGTGGGGTACGACCTGTGCAACTAATATTGATAAAATACAGAGGTTCCAGTCCAAAATTTTAAGAGCACTAACGGGCGCACCATGATACGTTCGTAACGTAAATATTCAAAAAAAGACCTTGATATTTTACTGGTTAAGCCTTAAATTGAAAGAAGCAGGACGAAGTACTTCACAAAGCTGAGAAATCATCGAAATCCGCTAGCTCATGCTTTATGCAAACCATCGAGAAATTTCCGTGTGCATTGAAGAGATGTTCCCGCCTTCCAAGGAGAGCGCCGTAGTTTGTAAAGGGCTCAGAGTTAAATAGCTCGAGCTATCATGTTTGTTTGTAATTTAGTTTTTTAAGATTTATACACTTGCTGTTAGGCATATATAATATTATAGCAGATCCAGTAAAGAAATGAATTGTGTATAAAAAAAAAAGAATTTACTGTTTGACTTCGTTTTTTAACGCATCGCGACTTTTCTGGAAATCTACGAGACGAGACATGTCAACACTTTAGAATTTTAACGACTTTTATATGTACGAGTATGTATGTTTTTACATGTCAAATACACACGCGCACAAGTGGATGTATGTATATTCGTTTGTAAGTACACTTGTATGTAAACCTGCTACAAAATGCCGCCGCAATGTTCAAGAATATTGTTACAACAATCAAAATGCCAATATAGCTTGATTTAATAAACACTTTACCGGCCTTTTCTCTTTAATTTAAGAGCCACCGCCATAAGTTTTTTTTATGTTCAACGTAACTTTTCTTTCGGAGCCACCGTCATAAGCTCTATTTTATTTTATTTTCAGCGTCACTTCGTTTTTTCAGTTGAACCGCACTTTTTACTTCTTAGATTTCCCGAATTTTTTTTTCCGGCTCGCGTCTTTTTTATTTCTTTTATGTTAACCATCGTTTATTTTTGCACTCCACTTTTTAGGTTGGGCCCCATATGTAAGGAAATGGATACGTTTTAAATGAATTATCTGATATCAAGCGATTCGTCGTTTTCGTCTTAACGTCTTCACATCTGCGTCGTAACTCATGTCTCTTCGCTCTCTTGCCACCGACGTCGGTGCCATTGCAACGTGGTTGCCAGATCTATCCCACATATATATTTTATATCCCACGATAATTGGTGTTCTGGTTTTATGGATTGGGCAGAGAACACTTAAATACCAATTGTCTGGCATACTATTCGAACTTCTTCTTGGTCAGGTAATGAAATGCCCTTTTCCATCGTTATCAATTGGGGTTTAGGGCTTATCATCTCCGGACACTCCATTTTCACTGCCATTACGCAGGTTGGAGAAGTGTTCCCTCCATAAATTCAATATACTCTGGGCATCGGTTGCTAGATCACCTCTTTGTGTACTAGAAGAGTCTGATCCGGTCCTTATACCTTACGTAGTTCGTCGTATCTCCTCAAAGAATTTTCGAGCTGTACCCTTATCGACCAGCTTCTCAAGCTCTTCATACTCATGCATCTCGATATCTTTCTTTTTGCTTCCCACTACAGCTCTCGATATCTATCCGACTATGCACGTGTTGTGGTTGATCGGAAGGTTGCAAGGTTGTTTTCCCTCCACCGCGACACGACATTCCTCATGGTACCAGATGTATTTGCGACATCTCAAAAATTCAATAGTTTCGTTTGCCGCTATGCGTAGGGAGTTTAAAACGCCGTCTCAAAGTTCTGTTATACCGGACTGTTGACGAGTGCTCTCAGATATCAGGTGTGCAAGTCGATTAGAAAACCGTTTGGCATCTTGCTGTGGTTGCAAATTCTACGTCGAACCTTCCTTGTGTTTGTTGACCTTCGAATACAGAGGATGGTTCGTATCTTCGCTGCGACAAGGTAGAGACCCGAGTCGACATTAGGACCTCTGAACGTACGCACGTCTAAAACACTGGATACATGTCTTTCGTCAATAACAACATGATTAATTTGGTTGAGAGTTTTTCGATATGAAGACAGTGCTACCTGGTTCACGTCTTAAAATCATAATCTTAAAAAAATTTGCGGGAGTCGTCATCAAAAGAAGAAGGGTATCTTATCCGAGGCATGATTTTTTTATTGCACTAAGGTTTTCATGTGGTGGGTCCCAAACCCTACTTGGTCCGGACCGGAAGTCGTGAGCTGCTTGAGCCATATGCAAAAGAATCGTTTCTGGCCACTTCCAGGTGAATAGCAGTCAAAACGTTCTTCTTTTGCCTGAGCTTCTGCACATGACCCCATCCCCCTTACAAAAAGACGATTAGAAAAAAATGGGATCTAAGACCATGTATGGTGTACAGGACTTATACAGGGAGTTAGGCCAATCCTACTTTACGGCGTCAGTGTTTTGTGGCCAGGCGCTCGGTAAAATTACTTTCAGTAGCAATTTAGAGAAGTTCAACGGTCGGCTACTATACTGGCACCAGGAGCACTTCTATCAACTCCACCAAATTCTCTACTAATTTTTCTTAGCATCTTTACTTTGAACCGACAGCGGGCTGCGACGGAATTAGATTGAATGCAACTCAGCCTTGGGAGATTTGTAGTATAGGAAAAATTATCTCTTGTGCTTCGACAATCTTTTCTCCACGAGAATCTAAAGCCATAGCTTTCTTCAAAGACGGCTCGAAGAGAAAGTGGGCGGTGGAATTTTTTCTCCTTAGTTCTCATTAAATATTTGCATGAGACTGCCAGACCACAGCAGCATTTTTCAGGCAATCATTGAGGCCGCCGAGTGATTGCACAAATCTACAGCAGATCACTTAACACATACAATACTCTATCGGGAACTAGCCGAAACTGAAGGCGCTTCCCAATAAGGATAACCCAAATCGTACTCAATTTGCAAGAAAGAAATACTCAACTTGCATAGAGTGCCGAGTTCAGCATACCTCCAAATTAGGTAGGATTATAAAAAAAATTGTATATATATAAAAACTTAATAAAAAAAAATTGATGACAAAATCTGGACCCTTTCCTTTCAACATACATGCCTTGTTGTTATTATGGTTTTCATTATGATCACCAGCGAACAAAAGATTTCATGCAAATTTAAAAATTTGAGAAAATACCCAATTACAAAAACTAAATTATTACTAATAAATAAGAATTATATAAAAAATAATATTTTTTATTAGTGGAAATTTTCCCCCTTTGAGGCCTTGAACTCGAGCCATACAAATAACTCCATCTTCAGTGGCAAATTATTGCGAGTAATACCTGTGCAAGTCCAAATCGAAGAGTAATCTTATCTACACATGTATCATATACATACTTAAAATCAAATACATAAAGCCTGAGTTCGGCACTCCATGCAAGTAGAGAGTTTCCTTCTTGCAGATTGAGTGCGATATTGACTTTCTTGCCGGTTCCCTATTTGGTCGCGTCTTCAATTTTGAACAGTTCACCATTGGGTCTTGGACGTGTTAAGCGATCTGATGAGACTTAACATTTGCGCCTTCTCATTATATTATTAAAGAACTTTTTTTATAAAGGGTGTGCGAAAATTACCAGAAAGATAGGAAAAAGTATTCGTTTCCGACAGATATTTTTTGTACTTTTTTTTAACAAAAAATTCTTTTTAAATACAAAAATTTAATGATTTGCTTTGTTACTGGCTCAAAGCTGCATGACAATTGCATGAATTATATAATGTGTAATGAGCATAAAACAATTAGGTTAACATGTTTAAAACTATTTTTTTAATACCACAGAATATCCTAATAAAGCTGTAATAAAAGCCATTGCGTACCAAGTCCTGAATAATGTACACCTTCCATTGGCAGGGCACTAGATCGAAGTCATTCGCTCATTTGAAATTAAATACAATGTAATTTCGAGAGCATTCAAAGAGTCGAAGGGCCGCATTTAAAAATAGATAAGTTATAACTACACAAATATTATACAAATGTTTTAGAACACAAATCTAATGTGGGTTAAATATCAGCAAACTTATTACTTATTTTAAAGGACTACCTATCTTTTTCTTTTATGTCAGTTTTAGCATGAAATTTGTCTGTTTGAATATGTCGGCTATGTTTATATATAAAGAAATTCTCATGTTTTATACTTACTGCTAACGTTTGGTGTGAGCTTCTCTTTATGTGCATGCTTCATATGCTCCATTAAAGCATCGGCTCCCAAAAATAGCTTGTGGCATACGTGGCAGGAAGTAGCGTTGGGGCCGCCAATCAATGCCGCATGCTGCTGCAATACACCAAGATGCAGCTGTAGCTCCTGTTTTGATTTTCATTTGTATTTTTTTATCGCAATGTTTTGATGAATTGTTTTGCGGAGGAGTCCGATTTTTGTTTTATCATTATTATGTATAAAGAAGGAAGGGAAGGTTGCGAGTGTGAGTCGATGTGAATTGTGATGAATATGAAACGGCATCGATGCAATGAAATTGAACAAAGCAACAAATTTCTGAATGCGCTGGGTATTAAGAATGTTTTGATGTTTTTGAAAAATATGGGGCTCTTAAATTTCGTAACATACAATATATTTATAGCTTCAAAGAATGCTGGATTAATCGCTGTTCTATTTTTTGTAAACAATTTCATACATTTCGTTTTTGAATCACATATATATCTCCTTATATTTATTTATGCGTGAGAACCGCTATAATAGTGTTTTTATGGGAATTAATGAGTTAATAAAGATGCTGGCGCTTTCCGGAGGATATTAAATTTAGAAAAGAAACTTATTAAATGACTCAGAAGAGAGAAAATAGGAACTGGTTTAGGAAAAGATATGATTAGTTTTTGTGGTATTGGATTGGTACTCTAAGAGGAATATAACAACTTAAATAATTTGGTAAGTGTGATTTCCATACATAATGACAGTAGGGTATCTGCGTACATATCGTACGTACATATTTATAGTACAATTTATAAAAATTAACATCATTACAGACCTTTGATGTGTGCGTGCGTAAACTGGACTCGGTGGCGAAGCCTTTGCCGCAAATATTGCAATGAAAAGGACGATTTTTGGCCCGCTCCACTTGGGCGTCGTGATTTCGTAAGTGTTGCTGTAGATTCGATAATTGAATGAATGCCCGTCCGCAATCCGGCAAATGGCATTTATACGGACGTTCACCTTTAACGAGTCCCAAAAGAAACATGTATGTTGTTTTATATATATACTTTTTATGATTATCATTACGCAACTTCGATTTTGACAAAAAAGTTTGCATTTTTAATTACTTTATTTATTAGGTGTACTGCTTTAATAAATAAATAAACCCAAAAATAGATAAAAGATACCATTTTCATTACAAATAGATATTTAGGTATGTATGTATTTAAAAGAAACACAGTGTCGAAGTTGGTTTCCCAAATTAAGTTCGAGCGATTTTTCAATCAAAGGTAAGCCACGTTCAGGTCGGCCAAATGAAGTTGATGATGACGATATCAAAGCTTTAATCAAATTGGATCGTTATGTGAATGAGCGTGAGATTGGAGGGAAGCTAAGTATACCAAAATCAACTGTTCATAATCATATACGACGTCTTGTACTGGTACAAAAAAAATTTGATTTTCGGGTACCACATAAATTGAAGGAAAATCATTTAACAACCGCTTCAACGATCATGGTCCAAGCATGATGAAGCGCCACAAACTACTTCAAAATCTGATACTCACCAAAAGAAGATTACTGTCAGTTTGGTGGGATTGGAAGGGTGTGGTATACTTTCAGCTGCTTCCAAGGAAGCAAGGGATTAATTTGGATATCCACAGCGTACAACTGGAGGGACTAAACCAACCAAAAACGGCCAGAGTTGGTCAATCGTAAAGGTGCCATATTCTACCAGTACAATGCCGGAACGCACACATCGCTCGCCAAAAAATTAGAGAGCTTGACTGGGAACTGTTGATGCATCCTCCAAATAGCCCTGACCTTGCACCGTCAGACTCCCATTTGTACTGATCTCTTCAGAATTCATTAAATGGCAGAACTTTCGAAAATGACGAGGCTATAAAATCGCCAGAAATTCTATGAGCGTGGATTAATAATGTTGCCGGAAAGGTGGCGAAAGGTCATCCAACAAAATGAAAATTACATAATTGATTGAAGCTCGTTATAAAATAAAAAAAATGTGCTCACTTTCTATTAAAAATTCGCTGGTATCTTTTGAAGTAACCCAATTTAAGAACATGCCCTTTAGTTCATTTATATTTTTTACAAGGAACTAACGATCATCGAAATAAGTTTTAAAAAAGGCCGAAGGTTATAGTTAAGATGTTAAGGATTCATTAATCATTTCCATGATGACCTCAAGACCCCATTAGCCACTATAAAGAATCGAATTTCAAAGGAATACAAATCGATGAGAGTAGGATCATTGGTCAACCTGCCCACAATTAACACGGATATATTTTATGGAGATTTTGTAACATGACCCTCGTAGAGAAATGTTTACAGCTATAAATATCCATAATAAGACGATCAGCAACGTGGAAAAGTCTTCCACCTAATAAAAAAAATAACGACAGAAGAGCAGTCGATTGTCAGTAATGCCCTATTGACAAATGAAGAATTTATGATAGCATGGAAAAATCTCGTTTCGCTATTCGAGAATAAAAGAGTTCAATTAAACGCCCAATAGAAGGTTTTTTTTACCCCAGACCACCCAAGAAAGCGAAAGTGTCAAAATCTCCAGAGGAGTGTTAAAAATTTTCTACTAGTCTGAATAATCTTGGTTTGGCCACAAGTAGTTGTGACCCTACGTGATTATTCTTATGCAGATTAAAGTTACCTAAATTCTTTCTCCATCAATTCGAGGATACGTAGGAGACAACTTGGAAATACCCTTTTGTAAACATTTGATACCTTTCTCACTCATTAATATAAATCATTGAAATCATTGGGAAATCTAACAGATCCAAATCCCATTACCTACTATATCATCAGATCCCAGAGAAGAAGAAAGGCAGCAGGATTCAACACGTTTCATGCAAAAGTTTTAGTACTCCGGACCAGTTCATCAAGCTCCAATAAAACGCCCATTTCAAACTCACTATATCATGCAACGCATGAACTAGAAAGTTGCAAATTATGCAAAACCCAACACTGAACTCAAATATGCCCACATTTTCAGGCATGAATGTGGAGATCCGTATTTCTACAGTAAAAACAATGGTTAATGTTTAAATAACCTAGCTCTATCTTATGGATTTTGAGACTGCAAAGCATATATTCTTCCAGAATAATACAGAAACACTTTACACTTCAGCATGAGGACAACATCCTTCGTCTACAGTCCCAACCATAAGGATCAAGAATCTCAATCATGACTGTTGTCTCAAAGTCAGTATCTAACAAGCCTAACTCTCAAATCCAAGTCCGCATGCCTACGCAACCCTCCTACATTCCACTCAAAAACACCCAAAAGCCCACTTATACCTTTTAGAAAAGAAGTAAGTATTGCCATAGGGCATGTAAACCATAGAGGGCATTATATTCAGCAAGGGCACTCATAGAACGGTTCAACAGCCACATTTATTTCTGAGAAACTCCAATAAAAAAAACTGGTCAGGGCTGAACAACTCAGTTTCAGCAACAACTGCAAAAAATTTGGGAGTTCATAACGACGCAAGCGTATATCTTAAAAACTCTCACAAAAAGCTTACCCACTCACTCACTCTACCCAACATTTGCAATTGGAAAACTCGAACTAAGTTTAGCTGATCCCGATTTCCATAAACCCAGACCCGTCGATGCTCTAACTGGAATAGACTGAGTATTATTTGGTGTAAATTCAATACTTTACTTGCCAAGAAACTGAATTTTGTTGGAATTTGCTTGGAACCATTCCAGAAAAATCCTGTGAACCTTCAGTAGCTTCATTTTTGAATCAAGTGACCCCAGATTACTTACTCACATAATTTTGGGAAGTAAAAGTAATTCCGAGAAAATCCCTGTCCTCAACTTCAGATAATTTGTGTGAAGAAAAATATAAAAAAAACACACACAGAAACTCATCGGGACACTATGAACATCATAGAGCTAAGTAACCCAAGAACTCGAACCATATTTGAAGTTCGCAGGATTTGCTCTACGAAAATGAACTTCCAATAACCCAAAATTCTTGGATACCAATTTACTCAACTTTCCCGAATTCAGTAGCAAAGAACACCTACAAATTTTATGGAAATCTAAGAATGATATATTCTTTTTCCAACCCCATTCAAGAAAAGGTCATAGAGTTTCACGGATTCATTGACGCACCTGAATAAGCGTACGCCGCAACTCTTTACATTAGAATTTTTACAAACAGAAACCCTCAGACCAGAGAATGTTAATATAGTGAGAAAGCGCAAATGTTTAGTATCATCACATCGTTTAGCACGTACAAGACCCAATGGGGAACTAGTCGAAATTGAAGATGAGACCAAATAAGGAACTTGTAATAAGGCATTTTGCATTTGCTTTTGGGTATGTATGTATATGATGCATGTTTAGATGAGATAACAAAGTAATTAATCCAAATTAGGCAGGATTATAAAAACAAATTGTAAATATATAAAAAATTTTTTAAAATAAGAAAAAAAATAGTAAAAATATTTGACGTAGTGGGCATCGAACTCGTGTAAGCCATTTCCTTCCAACATACTGTTGTTATTATTTGTGAAAAACCTTAATACAAAAACTAAATTTCTTACTTATAATAAAAATTATATACAAAAAATAGTCTTTATTAAAAAAAATGTTCCCCCTTCGAGTAGAAATTGAATTCGAGCCATACGAATAACTCTACCTTCAACTGCAAATTATTGCGTGTTATTCCTGCGGCTACACCAACTCCACCACAAGAGCAAGTCATCGCGGCGTTTAATGCATGATCACATTCAAAATATGGTACAATTCAATAAATTGAACTGAAGGCTTAAAAATGTAAGATTTTAGCAAACTCAAACGAATTGAGTATTCCAAGTATTTATTGTACATATGCACACGCCCATATATTATTAATATACATATTTATTTACTTATACTATTTATTACCCTTGCTTAAGACTTAGTTCGATGATGTAATTTATCTTATCTAATTTAATTTAAATATATTTTTTTCTATATTTCATATTATATAAAATGAAATATTATAAAATAAAATAAAATGGGGGGAAATGAAATAACATTAAATAATAAAATAGAAAAATTTTATTTAAGGAAATAAACTACAGTAAATAAAAAAAAACGAAATAGAAATTCAAAAAAAAAAGGTAAGGCAAATAAATATATGTAAATAAATATGTACGTGTACATAAGTAAATACCTGGCTTACTCATTTCGTTTGAGTTTGCTAAAATTTTACATTGTTAAGTCATGATTTCAAATTATTGAATTATACCATATTTTGAATGTGATCATGCATAAAACGCCGCGATAACTTGCTTTCTTGTGGTGGAGTTGATGTAGCCGCAGGCATAACACGCAATAATTTGCCGTTGAAGGTGGAGTTATACGTATGGCTCGAGTTTAAGTGAAAACTATTTTTTTTAATAATAATTTTTATTTATACTATTGTATATGTAAGTCATTTAGCTTTTGTATTAGGGTTTTTTCTCAAATTGTGAAATGTGCCTGAAATTCTGTATTCGCAGGTGATCATAATGATAAAAATAGTAACAACAATATGTAGAAAGGAAATGATTGTCTCGAGTTCGAGACTCACCACGTCAGAATTTGAAAACTTTTTTTTTTATTATTTTTTATATATTTACCTTTTTTTAACCCGTTGGATGAATCACTTTGTTAGGTCATCTTTATTATATTCATATATAAAAGCTAAGGCATAAAGGCTTAATTCGGCACTCTATGTAAGTTGAGAATTTCGTTCTTGCAAATTGAGTGCGATTGGGTCGCGTCTTGAATTTCCACTAGTTTCCTATTGTGTGTTGAACACGCTAAGCGATATGATGAGACGTAATATTTGCGCCTTCTCATTTGAGATTCAATTATTATCTTTGTGGCATCACACTCTGTCTCTATAGCAAATGTATTTTTATTTAAACATAAAGCGTACGTAATAAATGTTAGTTTATTAAGCCTCGGTTCACTTAATACGTATATATTTCGGCCTTTATGCACCTAGT